TTTTTTTTTATATATATACACTCACCGATAAAAAGGTTGCAACAGATTCCATAGTTTTCAGAATGCAGCCTATTTACCGAGCGATTGATTTTTACTTACAGTCCATAAGTAAGAACCAATCGTTCGATGAGCAGACTGCATTCCGAAACCCATTAAAAAAAAAGTTGCAATCTTTTAATCGGTGAGTGTACTTACATGGCACGAATATCGAATGTTATCAACAGATATATCCATTCGCAAAGATATTACTTAAATGTTTCTGTGATTTACACTGAAACGCCATTTCTCGGACGCCACATCTAGATTTTCTAAACGTTCTAGGAACCTCGCAAAATGAAACATCCGATATGCAATGTAAAAGAGATAAGACGTATTCTGGGTTATCGATATGTCAAAGATTATGTTCCTGAGATATATCGACAAACATCACAAGCCACAATGTGGCATTGCTGTAACATTTATAAAATGTAATTTTGTTTAGTGGGTTATTTTAGCAATAAACTGAATTAATTAATTTTACAGCTAATTGACAATTTGAATCTATTTGAATCCATCATCTGAATCTATAAAAAATAAATCTATTTGAATCCATAAAAAAAATTATGTTCTATTCCCGTATATGAATAGAAAATGATTCGATTTTACCACGTTCAATTCTTTTCTATCTATATATAATACATGGATCACAAATTTGGATTCTAATGAATTATAATGTATTAAAAATTTTCAATCTCTTTTAATTCCTTTTCGGATACTGGGACATAAACAAAATGAAAAATTTGAACGCTGATTGATAGATCATAAAAGGCGACAAAATTCCAACTCATTGGAAATTTATCGCTATTTTATTTCGTGTTCTTCTTCCGTGTATTGATATATGTTGGATTCCACATTCCTATCGCTATCGCAATTTGTATTACTGTTGTCTCGCATAGTGTTTAGAGCTTAACTTACTAATTTAGATGCCATTTATAAAAAAAAAGCAGTCAGCTGTACAATTATATAGGCTGCACATGTTTGTTTCTCCGATTTGCGCTTCTAATTATGAAGTCGTTTTTATTCGGACACTTTCAAATCATGTACATTTTCATTTAATAAAATACAGCATTACATTGCATTGACAGTTTCAGGTGACTTTACTATATCTCTACAATTATAAAAAATATTATTAGTACTTACTGTACGAGATTTAAAAAGGCTTCTCTTTTCCGATGTATTTTTTCCTCTTTACATTCACGAATCTAGCATGAGACCTTTGCAATTTCAAAGATCGTTTATATTTGCACAAGGATACAAAATATCAGGAAACACCAATAAATTCGGAAAATAAAGTGAAGTAAGGTTGATATTGCAAATGGCGTCTAAATTAGTAAGTTATTCTTTTCAATAGATTCTCTTCCAATTTAGCATACGAAACAGTCCCACTTTTCTTCACGGAGTTGAATCTCCTCCCTTATTACTTCATGTTGTCACCGTATAAATTAAATCCCAAATTTTAGTAAAACTTAAAATTTGCATATAAATCAAGTTTATCACGTTTTTTTGATAAAAAAAATATAAAAATTGTTATAATTAAAATTTTATTTGTCGATATGTGTTAAGATTTACTAAAGTTATATAAGAAAAGCCAAGATAGCTTGCAAATTAACCATATGAACATATTGTCAAATCAAAATAAAAAACATTTTCATTGAATTAATTTAACGAAAATATTAATATATTGATAAGTAGACACTGCAATTGCATAAGAATTCGATGTCTATCTTATTAATATATTAATATTTTCGTTAAATTAATTAAATGAAAATTTTGTTAGGAAACAGATTGAAGAGTCAAAATAGGTCTTATTGAAAATTAAAGTGTTCTAAAAATGCATATTTGTATATTTTATACATATTTACATCACTTTTATTTATTATATTATAATTGTTTATTATTGTTTATTGTGTGATTTAAATTATTAATTATACTTCTTAAAATATTTTACTTTAGAAATTATAATTTAAATTTTAAACTTTATTTTGTATTATAATTTGCAATATTATAAATACAAAGTATAAATTTTTAAAGTAATTTTGTTAATTATATTAATTGTATCAATATAAATAAAATAATAAAAATAAAAACTATGAAAATTATTTACTTAATTTTAGAGATGAATAACATTAATGTAATAACATTTTATAATATTAAATAAAATATTACATTAATATTATTAATATAAATAAAATAATTAATATAAAGAACATATTTTAACACGTTTCTTGCACATGTAATGCATGTTATTTTACACAAATTTTGTATAGAAAATGCATATTGGTGTACGTTGCATTATAAATATATTATATATATTATAAACAATCTAAATTTTAATTATTAATTGTTTTTTTAATAATAAATATCTTCATAAAAATCCAATGTCTTATACGGTGTGTTTGTCATGGAAGATGCATTTTATTTCTGTGCAAAAAGCATTCATAATTTATTTAATATCTGCTTTTTGTTGAGTATCATTTAGTTCATTTAATTTTGTCTAAAATAATAAGAAACACAAATAAGCGCATTTAGTTTCACATCTTTTCTACTTTTTACTCTTATTTCTTGTGTAATAAAGCTATGCACCTTAAAGTTTTCAAAACAGTTTTACTCTAACATTTATATATCAATATCAATAGGTAAAATATCTGATTATAACAACTGGTCTTTTAACTCTTTATTTTACCAGAGGAACTTGATGACTCTTAAGATTTTACATACGAATATTAAGTTTTACTAAAATTCAGAGTTTTACGATAATGTATGTGTATAAATTTTAATTATTGCCCTGTAATTATAATTGAATAACTGATTATTATTATTATATTGCTATATATATATGAATTAACATCGATATTCCTTCGGTCAATAGGTTGGTAATTCAACCGGCAACTCGTACGTAAATGTAACTGGCAATTGGTTTAATACCAGCTTTGAAACGGCGCTACAAGTGGAATCCAGTTGGAGAAAAGACAATGGATTAATGAGAGTGCAGATCGGACACAACTCATTCATAAGGAATGAGAAGTTAGGAATCAAACTGAGCCCAGCGCTCAATCTCGACGCTATTATAGAATACAATCACTTTGTAGATCAAGCAACCGGTGCAATTCTAATAAAAAATCCACTCTACGAAGAGTTTAACATTTTGCCCGCGGAGGTCGTAATCCGACATAACGAATTCTATAACAACCAAGGTACCTTTATAATCAGCATTGGCTTATCGCCTTACAACGACGCGCAAAAGTTACTGTTCACAAGAAACTTCGTGAAACATAATCGTGTCCGGGAATTGTTCGATAACGGTGATATGCGGAATGTCAAACTGATACCGCGCTCCAGAGTAGCTGCTGTCATTGTCGTATCTTCAAGCAATGTTCAAGTTTTCCGTAACATCTTAAACAATCTCGATTCGCGTTACGAGATTGGCTCTCATCTGGAAGATCAGAGTAAAGTTATCAATTGCACATATAACTGGCTAGGATCTGCGGAAGAAAAGATAATATTCGATCGATTATTTCATAGGTATGTCTGATTAACATTTTTCAATTCTTGCAGTAGAGTAAGTAATAATAAAAATATAATCATGACTATGTTATTTAGGAAGGACAGATATAATCTCGCCAAAATCGAGTATTTGCCTTACTTGCTGCACAACAGCAATCCCGGCGCGAATACCATCATCCCGAATCCGACATTCGTGCCGCAATTTATCAGGTCTGATTCGAACGAAGTCGGAGGTGAGGTTGACGGCCAGGAGGAATTAAAAGCCGGAGAGTACATTGTCAAGCGTGATATCAATGTAAGACCAGGCGGAAAACTAATATTGCAATCGGGCGTTACATTACGCTTCCCACCAGCCGTGGGAATGATGATCGCCGGCAAATTTGATGCGCGCGGCAAGAAACCCAGCGACATCTTATTCACTCTCAAGGAGGAGCTCGTTATGTTACCAAATAACAATACTTTTACAGATGAGAATACGATTCAAGTCCATGAGACAGAATCCATGCCAGTGAGGCTTCTTGGTGGAAA